GGGTTAGGTGCACTTTAAAGAAGTGGGATTTCAAAAATATTCAGTCATAGATGACTGAACAAGAACACCTAAGAGTCGTAAATTTCTGTTTGAGATAACAATTTAAGACAGGCAGAGATCACGATAGTGAAAATTTACTGTAGTCGAGATGATATATTTGGAAGACAACGAATTTGTACCTAGACTAGGGTCCAAAGCAGGATCCAAAGCTCTTGCACATTTTTAATTTGGTTGCTTGTTTGTCGTGTTTTGTGCCAGAGGGCCCTGAGGCAGTTTTGTTGTTATGCTAAACGTCGAAAAGCGGATGACATATGCATTGCAAAATCAAATCAATGGCATCTAGTTATAAAGTTTGCAAACAAAAATGTTGTAGTGTGTCGTTTAGAATACCTTAAAACCTCACATATGCCTCAGTCTTCAAACATGAACACGTTTCATACTTCGCATGAGTGTCGTGTCCCAGTCGAACACCACAGAACTCTTGAATTTTGTCGTTTAGAATACCTTAAAACCTCACGTATGCCTCATTATTCAAACATGAACACGTTTCATACTTCGCATTAGTCTCGTGTTCCAGTCGAACACCACAGAACAGTTCAAGTGTGTGGTTTAGGATACCTTAAAACCTCACGTATGCCTCCGTATTCAAACATGAACACGTTTCATACTTCGCATGAGTCTCGTGTTCCAGTCGTACGCTTCGAACACTAGCGTGTTGTCTGACTGAAGTACGCGGTAGTGTATATTACCTGCATAAAGCCCGTTCTTGACGACGCAAGACATTATTGGCTGTGAAAAATGTGACATAACTTTCGTATTCATAGCGTGCGATTCTCGAAAATTAGAGCATACTTGACGTATTCAATAGTATTCGAAGACGTTTACGTCAGAAATGGCGTCGTGCATCTCGTGTTCCAGTCGCAAACTCTCGAACAACTGAGAGTATTCAAAAATGTTCGAGTCATACATGATCACTATATCTTCGAAGAACATCTAATGCAACATTAGGGAGCTTACGAATCGACGACTTTCGGACGACGGCGCCGTTGGGTCACCTTATAGTCTCGCGTCGATCACGCAATCTAACGGCGGCGTCGTGCAAAAGTCGTCGATTCGTAAGCTCCCTATTAATCTACCAAAACGTGGCCCGTATGATTTATCGAACACTTCGAGTCATTCACGAGTATAAAATTTGAATACGGAAAAACAGGCCGGATTCCTCTAGAATATTCCAGGTGTATTTCGAGTCAGCCGCAATCGAATACGTCAGAACATTGCGGCATACGCGGCGTGCGCCGATCCGTATTCGAGCGAATTCGGGCCCGAATATTTGGCTTTTCGAGCATAAAGGGAATAAGCCGGGGCACACTGAAGATAACACAGTTGTCGTGATAAAATAAATGTAGAACTCTCGCGAAATGCTTCGGTGAAGGAAAACAAATCCATAAACAAGCCAATAAGGGGTCTGAAGAGATATGACGACACAATATCTATTGTCAGCATTTCTCAGATGTGTCAGCCGGCATTTCTCAGATGTGTCTTGTCTGAACCTTGGATCTCGATTAAACTCTAGTTTTAACGCCGCCGGATTGGGAGAAGGATATGCAGAGGAGACTTGTCTAAGGATTTCTAGCTCCCTTTATTCAGGTTAGAACTATCGAGCAAGCACACACGATATTCAACAAGCAAACGATTCATGTCAAAGGCATTACCTACCTATATGTATAGCTATATCTCTCCGTGCCATAAGGCACATAAGGCTTTACATTCTCTTTCCACCCAATTCAATTTATTGCTACAGCTCTGACTTGCAGTCGCCCCTGACTGCCACCCATCTGCGCGCCTTTCTTCCTAAATCATTATCCTCCACGTTGTTTTGGGTCGGCCTCGTCTTCAGAGGGACTCAAACCGCCATATTTTTGTTCCTTCAAATCCACAACCAGTTTTGGTTTTCTTCAAAACCGAAATCGCCCTACTAGTAGGACGATTATCATCATAACCGATCCTATAACAGTACGTAACAAATTCTTTACGAGATGCTAGATCTTAAGAAAGGAGTAATTGTTTCTACCTCCATTCTGTAGCCGGCGAGCAGAACGTTGTGACGTGTAATGGACTATACAAATACAGAACATGCTCGAGATGTGTATAACAATAGCACGAAAAACCCGCGTGAAACCGAGAGTTAAATTTATTATTTCAGGCAACCACACGAAAATGACGAAAATACCTTAACTGTCTGACCACTAGACAAATGTGAATGTACTCCACATTGGCTCAACCTAACTGAAAAACCGCCAGAGTATACTTTTCTGCTGAACAGCGAATCGACCACAAATGTACGATATTAAGTGCATTTGTTGTACTTTCTAAAGACGGAAACGGAACAAGTCTGTTTTACTCTCTAGAAAGACGGAACTAGTTAGAGTGTTGTGCTGCTCTGAATTGAGCAAGGAATATTAAGAAATGACAGTCAGAATAAGTCACCAATTGGTCTGAATTTAGAACCGTAGGCATACATTGGAAATCTTTCTATTTACGAAATGGATGTTTTCAGACCACCCTGTTTTCTACTGAATACCTATGCTTGTTTTTCTGTGGAAATTGTCGTAGATGGTCGGTTTTGATCAGCTTTGATCGAAGCCACGTTTTTACAAATTGCTTAAAAAATTAAGGATCTATTGTTAAATTCCGACATTATTACACTCCTAGTTATTTTCATGGATTCAAACACCTGTCTCTGTACTGAGCTACTTCTCGACAGGACGTGGGTACTTTTGGGTCTACCTCATTCGAACAGGTTTTCATGGGATGATACATCTCAATTCAATCGTGTCAAATATAAACATGTCCACAACAGGTAAGATAGAGCACAGAAATAACTACGTTAAGTTTTGGAAATATAGTGGTAGGGACCAAAATTATGGAAGACGATGAAAACAATCAACCGTAAGACAGACCGATCGATTAGTACCCTCTTGTTGTGTCAGTACACGCTTCACAGGCTGGCCAAGCCTAAAATTGTTCTTTGGATTTATGGGTTTTGTTATATTTATGAAGTATTCAGGCTCTAGTGTATTTTAACTTAGTCAATTTAAAAAAGAAGAAACTTCAACATTGGCAATCGAAAACTCGAATTCAACTGATCATTCGCACAAAACACTATTTTGAGCACGAGGCAAATATTTTGTGTATTAAAATTTGTCAACAACACGAGATGTTTCAAGACCTTAATTCAGAACAAAGGCATGCTAGATTGTACGTTAAAACTTATACTGTTACTTTCCGGCCTAAGCTTTAGATTCTGCTGCATTTTTGAGTCTCCCCGTACTTTTGGAGGAGGGCGATTACTTTCGCTGGGTTGCTTCTCGTCGATTTCAAGAAGAAGCATGAAATCATGGTATTTCTCTGTTTTCGAAGGGTCGTTACGTTAAGATCTTTACGTTATCCTTTTTTTATATTGAACACTTGCAGTAGCTCTTAAAACTTGGAATGACCAAGTGTCTTAATAAGTCAGTGTCAGTTTATCCTGTTCTGGTCCATTTCATGATTTCTAAATTAATTTGATATCGTAAACAGCATGCTGTAGTTTTCCTTGTTTGATAACTACAGCCGGTAGATGGATCAATTTATCTAGTTCTTGGGAAATCTAGTCAAGGTGAATCCAAGCCTATAGCCTTTTTAAATAGTAGCCTCGCACTACTACCAACATTTAAAGGAAAACAAACTTAAAG